GTCTATATGCATCCGCGGGGCTGAACGGCAAGTGGATGTCCCACCTGGTGGAAATCCACCCGGGCATCCTACGAGTATTTTGAACGTGGTGGATGTTTTCCCCTGGGGATGGACGTTTTGGAAGGGATCATCAATGTAAGGATGTTCAACATCCCAGACAAGCTGAAGTTTAGCAACGAACGTGTCCAACGTCATCCTCCTCGACCAGCTCTCAAAACGGATTCCTTCAATTTACATTGATGCGAAATTTGATGGTGATTCCCATTCACGCGCGAGTACTCCGGTACTTCGTCGCTGCGTTCCTCTCATTTGCGTATCTGATCGTAGGCTGACGTCCGCTTCCCCGGTCTGCCTATGACGTAACCGGCGATAGCCATCCGGCGGTTCCCTAAAGGGCTGGGTCAGGCCAACTGCCAAAAAAAACTGCTATGGGATTCCAAGGCCACACTCTGAAGGTTAATATTAAAAATACTAAATATGCAACAGAGATGCATATGCAGAATGCATATGCATGCAGAATTTGAGATCGATGCCCCAGGGATGATCCATGACTCCTTTTCATTTCCTTTTCATTCCATCTCTCCTAACGATGATTGCAGGCTAATGAGACGAACTTACAAGGTTATGAGATGACATTGGGCATTCATCTTATATGTCCAGCCAAGTCCTTTACAGAAGCATGCCTAATTTGTAGGGTACTTCGAACCTGAATTTGCTTATTATAAACGCCAAAGGAAATTGACAATTGTTTTCTCCTAGCTCATCCAAATAATTAACCAAAATATTTTTCCAAATATTTTGGTAAAGCATGCGTCAATTCGTCCTTCGTGTATGCCTGTGGGACATTCTTGCAGCGCCTCATTTAAGGCGCTGCAATGAGGAGCTCTCCAGCTCACCGCTGCCACGGAACGAAAATAATGAACAAACGAAAATAAAATTTCAAAGTCTGGAATCAATGGCAATGCTGACAGAATGGAATCAACTGAAACATCTACTTATAAAGAGAAATCTACTGTGGAAGTACGAGATGCGCAAATTCGACAGAATGAAGTTTAAAAAAAAATTATAACAATGGAATCTGGAAACATGCGATGTACAATTTGTAGAATAGGAAAGAAAAAACGGGACGAATCCATCAATATTAGTTTCCTCATCGACCCCAAAGTTCCCCAAAGCAAGAACAAAATGTCAAAGTTTTGAATTCGATGATCGAAACCAAAATAAGCGTGTCGACGCAGGTGCAGATGTGCATGATTTCAAAGAAAGGCGGCAGAAATTTGATTTCAAAGAAAGGCCGCAGAAATTTGATAAACTTCAGATTGCGGAAATTCAGGAAACTGGAGACGACGGAAATTCCAAACTCATAGACGGCGTAGATGCCATTCCGGCGGAGGAGCAATCCTGCGCCCTCTGGAACTGTAGGAGGATGACCATGTAGGTCACCACCGCATTCAGCATCTAAACGAAGACAGGATAAATTCCTTCCCCTCACCCCAAAGCATCAGAACTTCCTGAGGAAAGGCAGAAAAACTCACAACCACAATGATGGAACGACCAAGCGAAAAGTAGCCGCTGAGGCAGATCCCAATGGGATGATCCTTCATGAAGGTTAATGTCTCCTCTCTCCCCCTCTCATGGAATGACTTGCCCGTTTTGCCCCTTTCCTCGAGGAGAGCATAGTACAAAGCCCTCGCCTGTTTTGGTGCAAGGAAGGAACTTCATCAACCTGCCATCTCGAGTGACTTGAGATCTCGATCATGATCACCTGCCTTTCTCTCGATATGGTAAGGACCGAAAGTGAGAAGGAAAAATCGGATCAATTGCTGAAGCAGATTCAAAATAGATTCGGAGAGTTCCATGACTTCGAACGCTTCGAGGTAAGATGAGGATATTATCATGGAGGAAATGTTGTAGAGTTCTGTGAAGATCATGAGGAAGTTGTTGAGGAGGGAGACGAGGATCGGGTAGGTCAGGGCTTCTCCCAGCTTGTTGGCCAGCATCCACACGTCGGCGTATTTCATCCTGCAAGAATCCAAATGTTTGAGGATTTCTTTCGACGGGGATCAGCACGTCCAAGTGCTTCACCGTTAAGGCTGGAATAGAAAGACTCACTGGATGAGTTCGGGGTCGGAATCAGTGCGGATCTCGTGCAGGGTCTGGGCTAGTTCCAGGCAAAAGGCCGAGGTCAAAACCGTGGTGCTTGCGCTGTTGAAACCGATCACAGCTTCATAGTAGAACTTGTACTCCAGGAAAAGACTCGGTTGCATACGGTAGACCATGAAGAATCTCAAGAGAAAGATGAGCACGATGGTGACGATCGCAATGATGGGAATCCATCGTGGCAGTTTGCTGGAGCAGTGTCCGAAAGTCTTTTCAAAGCGACAAAAGAGATTCGCAATGCTTCGACCGAATACGAGAAAATATATCTGGTAGAAGAGAGACAAGAGGTGCAAATTCGCAATGAGGAGGCCACGAACCACCCCTTGAAAGTGGCTAGTGTCTTGCCCTCGCATCTGCCCGCCACCGTACAGCATCTGGAACACTCCCATGCTGCTGTAGATGGAGAGCGAGAAAACCATGAGGGAGTAGAGGAAGGGGAAGGTCCAGACGCGGAATGTGGGCCGGGGTCTTCCAAAGATCCCGCCGAAGGGGAAGGAGCCGCAGACAAGGAGGAGAGCAGCAGTAGGTCGAAACTTCTCCCACAGAGTCAAAGCCATCTCGACCTTCACAGGCGAACTTCTGTCTGACGAAATGGTAGTGTTTGGCACTTCGCCTTATTCCCACCCTATATAGTATGCAGTGCACATAAGCACGTCTGATCATGCGCACTGCTTGCCATTGTGTATTTAGTGAGTAGTACTTGCACGTTCGTGCACGTGTGCCATTTGTTGGGTTGGGCGGTTAGAAGGGGTTAAACTCTTTGAATGACGATTAATTGGTTGATTCATGAATTGTGTAATAGGGAGCATACGTAGCGCCAAGCCCAAGAGGTAAGCTATTACAAAAGGCGTTTTCCCGTAACTCCCCTTCTCGCAACCTCAATGAAAGAAGAAAATTTTCTCTTACGTCAATAATCGACCGCCGGAAACTCAGGAAATTCAAATTTGATGCCATGGTTCCCACCACACTCACTCCGCCCTCTAATTAGGGAAATAATCGACCAAGTACTTTCGTTTCTTGGAGAAAAAGGGGGTTGATCGAGATCTCGAGTCACTCCAGATGACACGATGATGAAGTTTCATCCATGGTAGATGGAATATATTCTATCTACCTTGCTTTCATCCTTGCACCAAAACAGGCGAGTTGTTTGTACAGTGCTCTCCTCGAGGAAAGGGGCAAAACAGGCAAGTCATTCTGCGAGAGGTGGAGAGAGAGGAGACATTAACCTTCATGAAGGATCATCCCATAGGGACCTGCCTCAGCGGCTACTTTTCGCTCCTCGGAAATTCTTGAAATGTCACCTTCTTTATGGTTATCGCGTTTCTTTTTGCTTCTGATGCCTTTCTTCCTTCCTTTCCATTCGCTTTAAATTGGGATATGCCCCAGGAATATTGTAGATTAAATCTCCAAATTAAATAAAATAAAAACTTGAAATTGTTTACAAGATGTATCTGGTTTTTAATTTACCATTCACACCTCGGAGGATTCAATCTACTTAGCAACGAAGCAAGCGTAATAGCAGATTGTCCATCTTCTATATATTGTGTATTTCCATACAAATTTAATTGCAAATTTCCAGTTATACCGATCTGCCGCGAATCGTGATGCCATTTTCTTCTTTACACTGATGCCCTGAAGTAAAATAGGACGGAATAAATCCCATTATAGGTTTCTATCTCGAACTAGAAGCGAGCCATCATTCAATCATTCAAAGAAATTAAGTTCCTAAAACAGTTGAGAGATGGCGAACGAATCGCCGCTGAGGCGATTCACAACCTGGTGCAACTGTCATGAGTTCACAGTATTTTACAAGTGGCACCCAATATTTTCTCCTAGAACAATATATGGAATTACATTTAAATAATTGTAAAGGACAGAGAAACCCGACATGACCTTGTCCCCCTAAAAGTACAGTATGGCAGGTCAAGTTGGGCGATACTAATACCTGTACATTCACGTCGGACAATATAATTATCTAAGATTGACGCGGCGACTGGTTCAGGTACTTCCCATCCCGGTACTTCCCATACCGGTACTTCCCATCTCGGTACTTCCTCCAGTCCGTTGGCTGAGGCTAAGGATCTGAGGCACCGAGGTACTATTTTGTATTTTCTCGATACGATCAATGTCTTCCCATACAAATCTACTTCATCTACAGAGTCTCCAGAATAAAAAATGAAGACCTCCTCGGAATGGGCCATTCGCTGGCCTCCAAGGCGCCTTATCTCTCCACGCTGACAAGATTAACGCATTTTTCCGACAAACTCCTGGCATTGGGTTCATTGGTTACCCATTCTCATTTTGCCCCTCCCCGCTTTCTTTTTTTATTTAACGATGAATGCGGGCGGGTCGATCTGGAGCTAATGGGAAGAACATCCTAGATAACGAAAAGCCATTAAGAATTCATTCATGAGAGCTGTTCGACCAGATCCTCATCAGAAGGAGTCATTATATTATTGGTTATTAACTCATTTTCATTGCCAGGTCATTTTGTGAAAACTCAGGCGTCCACACGGTCTCAGGAACAAAGTAGCAAGCAATCTATTAAATTTTGAAGGCTTCCCCCTCCTCCAGCTCAGCTTTTATGAATATTATACATCATTATTTATTTTCTTCGAGTGACGACACATTCGTAGCTTCTCCCTCCCCCCGGATATTTTCAAGAAATTTAAAATTTGAAGAGGCTAAGCGTACAAGATTCTACAAAAGGGAAATTCCATCTGGGAATTGAGTGCGGTGAATACCAAGAATACACTATTTTTCATTTGCTCCCAATACAATGAAGTCGAGTCTCTGACACTGGTTCAGCGAAGCACTGCATCGACTGAATACAGTCTATGCCGTATTCACCGTGCAGCCGCCAGTCACGTCGAATTGGAGGAGGATGACCATGTAGGTCACCACTGCGTCCAGCATCTGAGGTTGGAGAGAATCACATGACCAATTCGACAAAGAGATCAATAATATATTGCGAAAAAAAAACTCACGCCGACGAGAACGGAACGGCCGAGATGAAAGTATCCAGCAAGACAGATCCTGATGGGATGGTCCTTTATGAAAGTCAATGTCTCTTCCCTCTCGCTCTTTCTGTAGAACTCGGATCGCCTGCCTCTTTCCTCCAGAAGAGCCTCGTATAAACCGTTCGCCTTCATCGACGCAAAAAAAAAACCTTCATCGTGAAATCTCGAATAACAGACGATCGATCGATCGCTCTCGCACCTTCTTCTGGATGTAATAAGGGCCGAAGCTGAGGAGAAAGAGTCGGATGAATTGCTGTAGCAGGTTCAATACCGACTCGGAGACCTCTATGGCGTCCAGATCGGCGGAGCAGGAGTTCAACATTGAGTAGAGGACGTTGTAGAGCTCGGTGAAGATGATGAGGAAATTGTTGAGGAGGGAGACGAGAATCGGGTAAGTGAGGGTATCGCCCAACTCGCCGGCCAACATCCACACGTCGGCGTACTTTGCCCTGTGAGGAACAAGGCGCTGAATAATTTGATCTTAAAAAATGTTTGCCATCGGAAAAAGCGTGGGATGACTCACTGGATGACAGCGCCGTCGGAATCGACTCGGATCTCGTGGAGAGTCTCGGCTAATTCAAGGCAGAAAGCTAGAGTCAAAACCGCGATTGATGCGCTATTGAAGCCCACCAAGGCTTCGTAGTAGAACTGATACTCCAGGAGGAGACCCAGTCTCATGTCGTTGAAGAAGAAGAATCTTATAAGAAACATCACAACGATGGTGTTGATCGCAATGGTGGGGATCCAACGTGGAAGATTGCTGGTGCAATGAACGACCGTTTTCTCGAAGCGAAGAAAGAGATTCGCGATGCCATTACCAAATGCAAGGTAATAAAACTGATAGAAGAGAGAAAGGAGAGGCAAATCCGTGATGAGGATATAGTGCACCACCGAATGAAATTTGCTCACGGCACCCTCCTGGTATTCCTCGATGGATCCCTGATCGAACTGCAACTGGAACACTCCCATGGAGAAGTAGATGGAGAGGGAAAGGACGAGGATGGAGTAGAGGAAGGGGAATGTGCAGAATCGGAATGCGGGCCGGGAGCTCCCGAAGACTCCGCTGAAGGGGAAGGAGCCGCAGATGAAGAGGAGAGCAGCCGCGGGGCGGAATTTCTCCCACAGGGTCACAGCCATCTTGCACTAACTTGACTCTCTCTCCTCTCTGAAAGAGCAGCAGCGGCAGACAAGCACAATATCGTTCGACAAAGCAGAAGTGGCTGCAAGTCCTCCTCGATTCCCACCCATAATACGAGTGTGTAATATGCATCAGCACGTTCTGTCACGCGCCATACCACGCCAAAACCCACCGAGCAATCTAAATGGATTGGTGGGAAGTAGTTATAAAATGCTGGGTGGGCCGAAGGAAATTACAATGGTCGACGAATAAGTAGCTCATCAATAAATTAGATAATTGAGAGTAGAGGTATAGCCAAACCCAAGAATTATACAATTATGAAAGGCGGCCCGTGAAACACCCATTCTTGCAGCCACAAAATGTAGTTATTTTCCCCCCTCCCTGTCAATAATCGAAGGGCTGAAAGGTAAAGTGGTCTATCTGGAAAAAAATATTTCCTTGAGTTTCAAACGGAATCAGTGAATATTCCAGTGGCTGTCATGTTAAAAGCGGGAAAAAGTGGTATTAATGGTGGAATGAAATATACCGTGCCACTTGAACCCGTCCAATTTCCCCTATGCACGTTAACTTATATCCGTTCTTTCTTAATGCAACTTAACCCACACGATGGACTTCAGACCAATTTCAGGAGGGATATCTAACCCCCAAATGATACACAGAAGTTGTTTTTTTTTTTTCGAGGATAAGACTTATATGTAGTGCGCCAGGCCATAGGATAACGATAAGGGAGGTTGCTTTCATCTTTTCGCTTACACTGACAGCCTTATTCTATCACCTTGTTCAGTACGATACAAGAGAGAGTGAACGTTCTCGATCTTCAAATTTAATATACGAGTATTAAATGTTTTGAGAACATGTCAAGCTTCAATTAGAACAGAGTAAAAACGTAACTGTGAAGCATCGATTTAAAAGGCTTCATTGCAAATAATTTTTTGCTTCAAACTATGGAAGACTTAAATTTGAAAAGCCAATGTCGGATCCAAGGTGGGAGGGGATGCGATCGCTCCCCCCCCCCCCTACGGTCAGGTTCACATTCTATTTTTTAGATTTCAAAAGTAACTACACTAATTTTTTTCTGCGCCTTTGAATGAGATTTTCGGGTTTTTACCCCAAACGAAAGATGAAATAACGATAGGACGGATACGGAGAATTGGTAGGAACAATGGAACTGCCCCCACCCCCTTCCCCTATGAAAAAAAAAAGAACGCCTCATAAAGATTGATAATGCAATTATATATATTTCATAGAGAAATCCTCAGGGTGGAGATCCTCGTTTTCTGGCATACTCGCGAGGAAAGATCTTTCGCACGAAGTAAAAATTCCTATACGTGGAAATTGGATTTATTTATTGAAGGACCTTTGAAATCGATGCGCAGAAAATAATTGAGTGTGCACGCTT